TGTGTGTGTGTGTGTGTGAACAAGTGTGTTTGTGTTTGATGGAATGGAGGGTTAAAGTCTTACACATCTATTAAATGCTCACTTTTTATTTACAGTTGATGTTGTAAATTATGATGTAAGTCATAAGAAAAGGAGATAATATTAAGTTTTGTTCAAGGAAAATAGATTAGATTTCTTTGTGGATTATGGTGGAGTTTTTATAAAATAAAATAAATAACTTATAATACTGAAGTCTGTTGATGCAGATGATCACTGGCTAACGATGCCATGTTGTTTTGTATGGTTTAATACCAACGTCAAACAAGTTTGTCTACAAAATCATTTTTATAACTAAACTTATTAAATACATCAGTCTTTTCAGAAATTATGACTTAAACCAAGAACTATCTAATTAAAAAAACAAGTAAACATTACTATTGTTTCTGAATTTAGAGCAGAAATGTTTCTATAACTAAACTTAAACGCCAATCTGTAGAAAGTTAAGTGTAAGTGTCAAAAGGAATAGAGGAAGAGAGAGTGACACAGGCAGTGGAGAAACAAGGAGAGGAGGAAGTGATAGAGAAACAGAAAGTGACAGTCTAAGCTTCTCACCTGTTTCCAAGCCTGATGCCGCTGAGCGCAGTGGTTCCATCTCTGTTGACGAACAGGCGAAGGTTGCTGTCTGAAAGCCAGAAACACAGAAACCGTGTTAGCAGCCGCTGACGGAAAACAGAGGGCATCAACACACAGACATTAAAAGGTGACAAAGCACAGAGCTGGATGACTGAAGGAGAGCCCAGTCCAAAGATGGTGCAGTATTTACGGACGGCATCTTCATCACCTTTAGACATCAATAATATGCAGTCACATTAACTGTAAAACCTTCAGATCAAGAGATACACTGTAAACAAATGAGACCATGTTGAAGAATGATAGCCTCCATCTCACACTAATGATATTATCACTGCTGGTGTTTCTCAAGGTTAGGACTACATTTCCCATAAACCACTCAACTAATATCTTCCCCTACTAGAATCTCTAATACAATAAATCACGCAAAACAGTATCCACCACTTTATCGCTCCTCGAGGGCTTCTCACTGCTCACAAAGTAGCAAGTAGCTTGTCTGTTAGCAAACATTGTGTAAACAAACTCTGACTTTCTCTGACAATTTATGTGACATTGGGTCAAGCAGAATTTTTTAGTTTGTATTTGTAACCTTGGAGCCACTAAGGGGCATACAATAGAGGAATCCCAGAGACTACATGATGTTCTCTTTCTTCTTTGACTACAAAGAAAGAGAACTCATTAAGTTGACATATTACAGCTTTGACTCATTCCCTTCTTTCCAGGTTACTGGACAGTCCCACCTATCATACAAAGTTTTGAGAGGTGATTCTCTCACATCACTAAGCAATCACTACTTTGATTAGTTGCAAGTTGTACCACTGTACCTTCAGTGTGGTTGATATCTGCAAAGTTTTGGCTTTGGACAATTTTCTCCACAATATCATCAGCATCCATGCGAGTGTCGTTTACCCAAGAGGGATGACTCTCCACGGAGTCCTGCTTCCTCCTGAAATACAATGAGTAGAAGAAGTATAAACCCTAGCAAACACATGACCAGAGAACTGAAGGAAGACTACACTCTGTGTCTGTACCTGGGGGGCCTGTTAGGGGGTAAGACAGGCCGCGGGGGTCTAGGGGGTCTTTCTGGACGTCCGGCGTCCTTGTCGCCCTCTGTAGGTGTGTCAGCAGTGAAGCCCAAGCCCCCAGAGGTGCTGCTTCCTGTCGAGGTGTTCCTGCGATGTGTGAGGTCTGACAGGCTGGAGGAGCAGGAGTGCTCAGTGCTGTAGCCTGCAGGACGGCGGGGACACAAGAGAGCATCAGAAGAGATGTGAGAAGTTATCAGAGGAAAACATTTACTCAGAATTTACTCCACAGCAAGCAAGCTAATATATGAATTAATTCATTTAAATTACCAGTATTTAACCAGAAAGTCTCTTCTCACCTCGCCAAAATGCAAACATAGAGTAGCTAACATGTAGTCACATAAGAACACACACAGTCAATTCACATATAGAACAATACAATTGGACCCGAGAGGCATAGAATGACTAATATTAGAAATGCCACAAATGTATTTATTCAATGGAAAGAAAAAGTTGTAAAGAGACTGAGAAGTACACACAAACAAAAACAACCAGAAAGCTTCTGGTAAATCTGGCGACTTTAATAGATTATTGTACAAACAGAAAGTAGGTTTGTGCCACTTAGATTGCAGCCTGTAGGGTCTTTGCTTGACTAAGCACTAAGCTGGAGCCATAAAAAACAGAGGAGCTGGTGCCCCATGTACCAAGGCTGAGTCTTTGCTGCTGTTCCAGTCTGACCTGTGGCCCTTTGCTGCATGTCATCCCCCTTATCTCTCCCCAATTTCTGTCTATCTTGAGCTAGATACTTTTCAGGAATATAAAAAGACGTGGAAGGCTGGATGAAACATCTGCTGGTGGATCTTGTACCTGAGATTTTGCTTTGCTGGCTGGCATAGCTGGAGTTACGAGAGTGACCAGACTGGAAGAGTTCTGCAGGACTGGGCTGGTTCACTTCTGATTCTTCAAGGAGACCTGAAGGCACCACAAGAAGAAAACTGTGTTATATATTCATATTTATTTATTTTGAGTCATAATTCTTCAGTCTTTGTTAACTTTCATAATAGAGATGCAGAACTCAGTGATGGCAGCCATGTCTGAGCTTTAATTTAGAGCCATGTACTGTACGTTCCTGTAAAGTGAAAAAGTTGGCAGGGTTTCACTCAAGCCGATCAGTCAGAGTAACTGCTTTCATAAACTAACTTGGCTCATGGCTGAGAATTAGCCATTCCTCTTGCATGGAAAACGTGTTTTGGACAGATTCCTGAACCAAACACTCGGGTGCTGTGAACAACCTCAACCTTTTGAGCTGTTTTCCAAGTTAGAACAGAAACAGGTTTTGTTTTTCATTTTATTTCAAACTGAACAAATCTTAAACATTGCCAACTAGTTTTCCATGCAAGGAAAATCTTCTCAAAAACATTTTTTAGAACTTCTTCCAGGAAGTTCTGGCTCAGAATGAAACACATCTGGGTCGAGGCAGATTGGACCAAGATAGAAAATACTGGGGTCCAGTCTCGGCCTCTTTATCTGATGTTTCATACTTACCTTAATCTTATGCCTTTCTGACTTTATTTTTTAAAGATTTATTCTTCTTATACGTTCTAAAATAGATAAACCTTTAGGGAGAACATGTTTTAAAGATTGTAAGTTAGTTCAGTAGCTGTTTAATTGTGCCCCACCATTCAGTTTGGGAACCACTGTCTTAAGGAAAGTGTGTATTTTGCTGGCTCGGAACTGGATCCAAAACATAACCTACTCTTAGATCACAACCCAGTACTGCTCAGACATGAGTTGTACCTGAGCTGATGATGGAGGGTCGAGGCTTGGAGGATCGGCCCAGAGAAACCCCTCCAGCCGGGCCAGGCTCGGCTGTTCCCTCCCCCTTACAGTCCAGCTGCAGGGTGTGTTCTTGTCCTGGGATGGAGATGGACTTTGCTGTGCCGGGAGGCCTGCAGGAAAAAAAGTTATCAGTCTGGAACAGATTAAATGAACACAGAGCTGCAGTTCTGCTTAGCTTGGCATGCTCAGATAAGATTAATTTTATTGACCGCGGGGAAACTGAGTCACTGCGGCAACAAAGGACAGAGAGCACAAATATCATATGTGTTTAACAATCCGGTTAAAAGGTTAAAAATGTACATAAAATACAGTAACACCAAATGAATACAAATACACATACACAGAAGGCAGAACTCTGTAAACAAATATGTGAACTTGTTTTGAGAAACAAGTTTCAGTAAAATGTGTATTTGTTCTTTTGTCCATACAGGAGGTCAGACCCTTAGGTCAGACCCTGAAAATGCTATAATGGAGAGCTAATATGCTTTTCCCTTTTGTAATTTATGTCCAAAAAATGTAAGGAATTTTCACTGTAATCACTATTTCACTGAACAGATATATTGTAGAAGATGTCTGCTGACTATCCAGGTTTAGATTAACCAGTTTTAATTCTAGAAATTCAGTGTTTTTACCCATAAAGGCATAAAAACATTCATAAAACGTATATATTTAGAACTCATAATCTAAACAATTTGAACTACTCACGTTTTAAAACACGGATCTCCAGATAGCAGGGTCATCCCGATGATCACCTTCAAAAAAACATACAAATTAATTTTACCACACAATTTTAATATAAACATGAATGGCAACAACAGCAACAATATCAGTTTTATTGTCAAGAAGTTCTCTGAAAGGTTCATTATCATCCACTTGTTACACTTATCTCTGATCTAACAAAATAGGGAAATATTTTTCCATAGTTGTGAAATTGTTGCCTTTTTCCTTTGTAGTGCATGTACTTTCCCTTTCCTGTACACCAGACTGCATTCCTGCACAGCGTTTAATTATCGTACTGTGTATCTCAGTACTGTTACTGTCCTTATCACGGGGGGATAACTGAAGCCTGAACATTATCATCAAGCACTGTCCTATATTTTTGTTATTAAGTAATAACATATTCCAACCAAACAGTCTGTTGGCTGCTAAAGCAATAAAAGCTAACTGGAGAAGCTGGGAGTAAATTCCCAGTAAGCTCACTGACGTAGGAGTTACACGCAATGACACACCATGAAGTCTTCCAGCAGAATGAGATGACACATCTTCTTGTGACCGTCTTGGCTCCTTGTTTTATAGTGCAGTTTTTGTTGGTGTTCTCTGGGTGGCGTTGCAGAGTTCCACAACTCCTCAGTGAATAGACCAGAACCTCCTTCACCCACAGAGACATTTAACTGATTCAGCTGTGAGGGGAAACTAGCGACTTTGTATTGAGCACTGATAAATAAATGTTGATTTTTGGGCTGCAACTAAGAATTAATTTCATTATCAATGAATCTGCAGATTATTTTTATCAATCATTCAAATAAACCTTTGGTCTATAAAATGTCAGGAAGTCTCCAGAAGTCTAATGTGAGATCTTTATTTGTCAAATTGTTTTATCTCAAGGTGATTCATATCAAAATACACCCTAACAGTTGCAGCCTAAGTGGGCTTTGTCTGTACATTACAGATTAATGGTTTGGTTTACAAAATGTTTTATTTATGAATAAAATAAATAGATAATGTCAAAACAAATAGGAGGGCAAGAGACAACACAAAGATAAGGCTGCCTGTAATGAGAGAAGACCTGTCTCTTGATGATAGTACACTGAATGTGTTTGGGCTTTGGACTGGATGTCAGACAAAACAAGATATTTGTTGAGTTTTCATGCCTTATAACAGGAGGACCATGTTAAATGTAGCCGCTGAAGAAACAGTTTATTCAGTATTTTAGAGTTCTGATGGTTCCTCCTTCCTATACACAAAACTGTCACTACATTGTTTTAAGATACATTAAAAGGTTAAAAGGTTAAAGGACAACCCTTCGTGGAAGCTGATAGAACTAGGGCTCAAATAATAAGGTTTATTTTCATTAACAATTAATCTGCATTATTCTATTGTTATCTTAATTAACCATTTGGTTAATGAAATGTCTGAAAATTGTGATCTTAAAATCCAAGGTCCAAAACCCCAAAATATTTATCACTTCAGACCAAGAAACACAAATTGATAGTGGAACTTGAGAATGTTCAGTATCAATTATCTATAGATTGACAATTTGGTAATTGAATTTGTTTCAGCTCTAGATGGACCTAAATATATTTTCATTTCGACAAGGAAAAAAAAGTCCTTGAGTGACAAAAGGACAATTGATCCTTTACCTTTCCACTCTGGCTGCTTGTGACTAAATGTGTGGAATGGAAGCAATCATTGAAAAGGTCAAATGTCAAAGGTCAAAGTGTCAGAGTTAATGATCGAGCTTGCTTCAGGCATTGGAACCTATAAAATGTATGACGCATTAAAATTCTTGTTTATACCACGAGGGCTCAGCCTTAATCTCTCCCTATTCTTACGGTGCTAACCATAAAATAAATGTTGCAAACAGAAACATATTTGACAAAACGAAGAATGAATTTCTTTTGCTTTTCACATCAATTTGCCCTTTTTCCCCTCCCATCTCCTTGCCTTCAGTATGGAGTTGTCCTGCCGTGTGTTCTTGGTGTCATATCCCTCCAGCAGACAGCAGCGCACAGTGGAGCCAGAACCCGCAAACTCCGCCATGTTGAGGTCTGTGAAGCCCAGCTGAGGGTGAAGAAGAGAAGACGAGTTAATTCTAGATTCACTAATGGAGGGGTTCACTGGCCTTTATTTTTGGCATGTGTTTAGAAAGGAGAGATTTCTGCAACACCCATTATTTAGCACACAGCAATTTTACACTGTTAACATCACAAGCTTCTGAAGTTTGAATGTGTATGAGTAAAGTAGCTTTAATGAAGGCAAAAAGCTTTTGCAGGTATGTTTTTACAATTAAAACAGACAATATGTCCAGAGCTACAGTGAGTGAGCAGGTGTTCATTTAGCATATTGGTGTGGTGATTGAACTTGTTTAAATCTGTGACCTCAATTAATTCAAACATGGAAGAAAGGCCAGAGCACGACTAATGTCGGTCTCGCGTTTTGGAATGACTCCTCAGAGACACAACGGGTGAAACTGCCATTTATCACACCCGTCAGTGCACACTCAGCAGGGTCTTCTAGTGCAAGATGCAGTCCGTTTGTGGGTTCATATCACTGTGCACAAATCAGCATGTTTTGGTTCACCCACAATCTCTCTCTCTATTCATCCTCCCAGAAAACAATCCAAAGCCTCACTACCTTGTTAGGAAATAAACGAGTGAAGGAGGGAGTGAGGGAAAAAGAGAGCAGGGTAAGAATAAAAGCAAATTAACTGAAAAAAACCAAACACTTTTAATTGGTCTGTATTTCTGAATAATACAAAAATATATACAGATAAAAACTAAAATCTTTACTACCTCATTAGAAAATAAGCAATACAAAAAATTGTGAGTGCAACATAGATAGATGGGCTTTGTCTGTTTGTTATTGTGGCTAATAAAAAAATATATATATATAGATAATCAACAACACTCAGGTAGAGGTCTTATCACTCAGAAGAGCTGAGTGTCGATCACCGGCTACATCAGCTAGTGGGAGACCACCGTAAGTAAGCTTAAGGCCACATGATAAGGTACTGGCTCTCAGGCAGATGCAAACTCATAACCAAAATATATTTATTTCAACTATTATAAGATCAACATTGCAGCAAACTGCCTTATTCGGGATAAAATACAGCAGTCACATGACTGGTGTTTATACTAACTGGGACAGGTGTTACAATTCAGGCCAATCTAAGGGAGGCCTGTTTATCCTTTATCTTAAACATCTTGACAATCAAACATATCATGTCCTCATCTTTCAGTGCATAAAATATGAACTCATTTTTTTTATGAAGGCACCATTATTCTTAGTGCCTATGAAAGTTGTAATCGTTGCTGTACACTAGCTGTACATTCAGAAATCCCTGACCTACACTTTGTAGAGCAGGGGTTTCTACACAGCCCCAGATTACACTGATAAGGACTCTGTCTACATGACCTTTATCTCTAAAACAAACTTCACAGCTCTTGTGGAAACTGCCTTTGTCTGAACTGCATTCGCAATGTTATTTTAAATTAACTCTGCAGCTCTCCCAAGCTAAAGGCTCCCATTCTTCATTCTCCAGGTTTCCCTTTCTTTGGGAGCTTCTGTTTTCATAGGTGTGTATTTAAGGAAGCCAACTTCTAAGGAGGGAAGCAGGGTATATTTAACCAAAGGAAATCTAAATGGAGAATGGGTAAAAACAGAGGAAACAGTTCCTGTCAGGCAACAACGTCCACTGATCAACAAAAGTTAATCTTCACGAGAGGTTTGACCTTGTAATTTCATTCATGAGACGTGACTCACTTCTCAGCTCTTACAGTTACGGCTAGGAAGGTGTTGGCAGGATGTTTTGCAGATTCCGGGCAAATGTGACCGTAAGGATGACAAGGTTTTGATATACAGTAACGTCCTGCTAGTGGCACGCTTGTCAAAGTGCTGTGAGAAATGCTAATATTTACACGATATGGCATTAAGGTTTACAGAGACTTACCAAGCCCATCTGTAACTGTTTCTATGTGTTTATGAACATGAGAGGTGAGGCTACTGAGATGGAGACGCAAGCTCTTACCTTCGTATATGCTTTTCCTCCTTTGAGTTCCTGCAGGGAAAACAGGAAGACAGTAATGAACCCAGTGATCCAAGTGAACCAACTTTATATTACAGAGGCCTCCAATTACAGGGCTCCAACGAGAGAGTTGAAATTACAGGCTGAGACCACACTCATGGTTCCTCAGAGCATGGCACCGGCGCCGCGATTTAGCATCAGGCACTGAACTATCCTGCCTTCATTTTTGTGAGACTGTCTCCCAGCCTCTTGATAATGTCTGTAATGAACTTTTTTTGGTTAATCAAGTTTGTTAAAGGATGCAGTTCTGTAGGGCTAGGGGTTCGCTTAAAACTTTTAAAGATAAAATAAATAAAATACAAAAATTATACTTATTTTATTAACGTACTTGGAGGAACCCTCCCAAATAAGCATTGACTTAGTAATTTGCAGGTGAAAAGAGGTCTACAAATCTACGTTTTTAGATGGCTAAGATATAATGTATATGACTTAATTTAAATGCAAAGCAGATCCTGACTACAATATAACCACTTAAAATAATAATAGTAATATTAAATAATATATTATATTATATTTAATCTAGACTAGATCAGTTTTCTCTCCAATTAAGACACAGGGATCTTGAAAAAGTTTCCCAGTGTAGTTGTAAAGGTGTAAAAGACAAATCCAAAAAGCATAAACATCTGGACTGCTACAGCACTATTAAGTTGAGTGTGCACTTTTGGTATAAGCCTGCACCAGGTTATATATGCTGTAGAAGTTTCATCAATTGGAGATATGATGACGATGATGTTGTAACCTCAACGTTTTGACCTGCAAATCAACTTTGCTGATTCATACCTTATTACACCACTGCAATGAAAAATGACTGGGTGGCAGGTATCCATTAAAAGCATATATCAGCAAGACTCTAACATAATTCCAGTCAACAGTTTAACTGCTGTTTCTAGATCAGTGACTTATTAAAGCACACTTTAATAGCTTTAACAACCATAGCAGTACTGTTGATTCCTGACACTTTACCTCCAGTAATTCTCTAGTTAACTGACCAATCCATGGGTTAAATCAACTATATTTTCAGGTAGCCATGGTATAAGTTTAATAAAAACAATGCTTGATGTCCTAATATGAGAAAATAATGGACTCCAACTGAGATGGTCACCTTCAACTCTGCCTCATCCATTTTTCTCCAGTATAGAGACACCTCATCATGCATTATAGCCTATTTGTGCCAAAATCCTCAAAATGTCCACCAGAGGATATTTTATGTGACCTGATAGCTACTTACAAAATCTATTTTAATGTTGTTTTATATAAGTCGTACCTTTCTGACTGACACCCTGCAGACAGAAGGATCCAGGACTCCGGTGTGAGGGTTGGCACTCATTTTAGACACAAAGGTAAACCTCTTCCTCCAGCGAACACAGTTCTCCTGAACTTCCTCTCTGTAAGAAAGAAAAAAAAAAAAAACACAAAAGGAGCACATAAATCTCTGTGATAAACAGTTTGGTGTTCTGCATTCTTGTGCTTCTGATGAATTATTCATTTCAAAATGTCTTTCTACTTCTGCTTACTCCTCACTTCTTGAGCTGCAGACTTTGGTTAATGATAATACGATTCATCTTGGTCTATGCTGAGTCAATAAAACTTACAATTACACTGAAACGTATAATGTAAAATGCCAACAACCTGAAGTGTGTGTTTATACATAAACCCGGGACTCAACAAGAACTTTTCCCCAAAGTTTTCCTGACATTTAACCCAAACACTCAAGACTTGGCAACTTATAATTCGTATTTGCTATATTCTCTGACTCTGAACACATTTTTTCCAGTTATGTCATCTCTTTCTCACAGCCTCATGACCATTTTATCCACTGAGGATCAGATTCATCAGAGCAATACAGAGAAAACATGTTGTGAGAAAGATTTTCCAAAACTAACTGAATTACAGAGCTGATTCCCATGGCTTCTGACACTGATTACAGCTTCTAGGTGGTCAATGGTCACGAGACTTCTGTGAAAACACAGTTTGCCTTGAAGAAATGCCAGTGGAAAACCTTTAAGTATCCATACATCCTGACTAATGGTTGGGAACACAGCAGTAGGTGTACAAACAGATGGGGTCACTGATCTGTTTGTTTCTGAAAACAAAAGCTGATGTGACTGGCAGTTCAACAAATTCCAAAGAAATGTCCCAGAAACAGCGCAGCACGCAGCAAGAGAAGAATGTAGATTTGTGTGGTATGTACTGAAAAAAGAGACTAATTTGTTTAAGTACTTGTGACGTGTATTGCGCTGCCAAAACAACATTCCAATCAAAATCTGATTCTCTGCAGCCCTACATGTAATCTGTAAAATAAGACAACAGTCTTGTTTAGAGCTGAAACAATTGGTCAATTAATGGATTCGTTTTTTGCATCATTGCATATTGGTTGAACTAAACTAAGTACAGTGGGGAACATAAGTCATGATACGGCCAGATCATATAAAATACATGAGCCAGGTGAAATCTGACACTTAACTATTAATCAAAACCCTGTTCACCCCTTAAATCGCCCATAAATCCAACTTTAGAGTCTACTGCCATGCTAACAGCGCTGTGAGGCTGTACTTACGCACAGCAGTGCTATCAGGTAAATGCTGGTGCTAACACAGGGATGTTGAGCAGATATAATGTTTACTGTGTTCACTATCTTAGTTTAACGTGTTAGCCTGCAAACGTTTATTAATTAGCACTAAAGTACAGCTGAGGCTGATGGGAACGTCATTAGTTTTACAGCTATTTGGTCATAAACCAAAGGGAACGGCACTGGATGAAGAGTTAAGGGATCAAATTTATTTAACTGGAGGGGGATACAAATGCATTTTCTTACCAAATAGCTCTCAAGGCATTTCACACAAAATCATATATTTCAGGAGTCACAGGAAATATCAGGAGATCACCAAGACATAGGATTTATCTTACCACTGGGAACCACTGATGTCTGTACCAAATTTAATGTCAAAACTTCTTGAAGTGCCACTCTGGCGCAGACTGAATATAAAATTCTGCACCAGAGTGGCATCCACTGAGCTAACGTGGATAAACATATGTTTTTCACTGTGACCAGAAGTAATTTTACTGTGCCGTTTGTAGTTAATTATGAACGTCTCTGGTGCTAAAACAGGGAGCCCTCCAAAAAACCAAAGTTAGGATGTTTGAAGCTGTACTCATGCTACACACCCATGGGGGGTGGGGGATCCTTACATGCAGGTCTTCATTATTGCTAAGTTATGAGAACGTTTGCTGTTCCATCATTTTGACAACCAAACATTTAAGTTAAATACCATCCTGTTGAAGAGCACCATAATTTGTGTAAATGCTCTGTCAATCACCAGTGAAAGCAAAAAAAGTTGTTTTTCTCCTCTTAAATGGCAAACAGCAAAGTGGAGTCACTTAACTTGCATGACGCCTCCTTAATTCCACTATATATAAATCACAGACACAGTGCTTCGTGGTGGGGTGTGACTGTATTTCAAATCAAAGGTGAAAGAGAAACACTAGTACAACTTTGATACTCCCTGACGTCTAAGTAACTTCTAAACTTGTCATCAGATGTAAATTTTGCTACAATGTCTACAGCAAGTCAGGATTACCATCACAGAGCCATGGACCAGATCAGGGAGTCTGAGCTTCCACTTAGTGATAATTGAGGATATAACACTAGATCTAGAGATCACAAATGTGCTCAGTGAATTTCCAGCTGTTCTACCAAGCCATTGGATTTAGATATTTCTTGTGTACAAATACATGTTAGCCTGGTGGTAAGCTAGAGGTAAGGTCATGGGCTCAGCAAAAACATTAGGATGCATCCTCTGGGGAACATGAATATACACAGGGAATTTAATGACGGCCTGTAGTTGTATAGATATCGTGCTCAGGAACAAAGAGAGATCAATCATCTGATTGAGCCATCCTTTTCCAATACTAATGAGCTGACCCAATTAATCAATTAGTCAACTGTTCTTTTATTATTTTTATGGTTTGTATTTCAGTAAGTTTAGTTTCAGTTGTTTTGATTTATTTAAATCAGTGTTGATGGGGCCGTTTGAGTTATCGCTTGAGACAGAAGGTGTACATGACATGTACAACAACCACACACACACACACACACAATCTATAGTGCAAGCTAGCAGCAGCTGCTCCTCACACTCCCCCTCCCCCATTCATCTTATTCACCATTTTTCCACAACGTTCTGTGTGATTTCTACCACTTAACTTCTGCTATCCTCTGTCTTTAAATAAATTCCCACAATATTCTGAGTAAACATCTTTAATAAGAACTATAAGTCAAAGCTGAGCTACTTCCATTTTTGCTTTGGTTGTACAATGAAAACCCTGAGCAGCCTCAGCAAACATTACAGGTTTTACAACAACAATCTTTAGGCTTTTAGATAAAATGAGACACCTTTTGTTGTTGGTTATTCATTTTCAGCCATTGTATTAAACGTAATGGCAGCATGTCGAAGACGATGGTTGCAAAATATTGATGTGGTACAAGGTTTCCTTTTTTAGTTTTTACTGGATCAAAGAATTGCTTTATTGACAATTCTGGTAACTGATTGCTCACTTACAGGTAAAACTACTAAACTTTTGCAGACAACAGCCTCTTAAATCAATGTGTATTGCTTTCCTCCATTCAATATCATACTATCAAGCAAGTAAACATGGATGTATACAACCCCAGATTAAAAACACTTAAAAACTCAGCTTTGAAAATTATTTATGAGGAAGGAAACATACTCAAAATGTTTGTCTGGAACACAACAAAACACAACTTTTATTTGTTTACAAGAAAACAGCAAAGGGCCCCTTTAAACGGAAATTAAAAAACTCTGCTAATATTAATTCATCTAAACAAAATGAAATGAACTAAAAGGTCATGTTGGAAATCTTCTTTAAACCAACACAAGAAATGAAGAGCGGTGAACGTGTCCTCACTTAGAGGATTTTCCCTTATCCATCTATCCCTGGAAACAAGTGCAGTTCTCAGAAGCGTAGAAACACAAAAGCACACAAACACACACACACACACACACACACACACACTCTCTCTCAGCTCTTATCAGGACCCTCACGCTATTGGTCCTTCAGTGTGTAACGGGGAGCGTTCCCAAACCACATTCCTCAGTCCAGATGGCTTTGTTCAGACTCCATGGAAACCTCACACTCGTCAAATCCACCGACGCTCTGCCAGCAGCTCAGAGGAGGAGGAGACGCTCACAGCAACACTCTCTCTTTCAACCTCAGACGTTTTTACAAGCCCTCCGCTGTTTGGGTTTAATCTCACCTGCAACCTTTGTAACTCTTCTGTTCCCCCTTTTTATTCTCACATGTTTTACTTTTGGTTTAGGAGGAGACTGGGCTGTAACATTTAACAGAAAAGTGTTTCTCTGATTCCTTCTCAGGCAGAGTATTTGTATGGTGTGCAGGAACTATTGCTTAAACAACAAGCAGCGTAGTAGTAGCAAAGTAGACTTTTTTTTTTAGCTTGCATAATTTGGATGTTTCTGACATCTTTTGAGAATTTAACACCGTGTAAAGACTTCACAAAGACACTTGAGTCATCCAAAAATAAAAGACGAGATACGAGCAGCACTTCAGCACAATGCTGTGAATGCAGCCCAGCAGCAGACTCTCAGTTTAAGTCGGGCCACACTGACAGTAGACAGACTAGAGCTGCTCACACTCCAGTTGAGCAGAGCTCACATAAACAGAGGACTGAAGGCCAACATGACAATGCATGCAGAGAAAAACTAACACAAAGGCCATCGTTGTGCGTGTCCTCTTCCATGCTTTTGTCCTGCGGGCAATACTTTCATCATGTTGCACAGTTGAATCAAATTAGTGCACTTCAAACAGAAAACTGCTGTGTCCCTCAACCAAACATAATTTCCAACAGCTGAAAATAGAGCAAAACCTGATGTTTCCCACACACATCATCCGGAAGATGGAGGAGTAGCAGCTCAGGAAAAAGTGGAACTTCCACAATGGCAACATCGGTACCACCATCTACTTATAATTGTGACTACTGTTAAACGTTAAAAAAAGAACATCAGGATAGATGCTGTCCTGTGTTGAAAAACAAGAGACAGGATCCAAAAATGAGCTCAGAACCTCAAACCAAAACGGCAGACGGAGGAGCAAAAGTCTGCAGGCAGACCGAGTAATGTAATCCATTTACAATTACTGACGTACAGCGAGTAATGTAGAACAGGCTCAAATTCCTATATCATCAACAATTACACACAAATGAAAGTAAGGAGGCCAAGAGTCAAAGGCAGAGTAAGCCAACAAGAGATGGAACAAAATATTCCTGTGACTACATAATATCCAAACTAGATTAGGAAGTGGTAGGAAAGCAAATAAGAGCTGGGGAGCTGAGGAAGAGAGGATTTATTACTCTAATAAAAACAGAAAAGAGGCTAACACTGGATCACGCAGAGGAGGAACAAACAG